GTTCGCCTCGAGTTGCTGGATGCCGTACGCTTCAGTGCCCTCCTTGCATGAGGTCTTCTTTGGAGTGTGCCACGACGGCACCCTGGACGGCTTGTGCTTCAACACCCTTGACGACATGTGTGGCAGGGGGACGATGTCATATGTGTTCACTTGATTCCTTCAGCTATTTTTGTTTCTTTCTTGTGCTTCCCGTGTAGGCACCATGGCACCATCTAATTCCTTTTGGCCGGTAGTTGCCAGCACGTAATGTTGAATTTTGTCAAGTCATTTCTTCCATATGTATGGTTAGAGAGAAGGAGTGCAAGATTAACCTTTTGAACTTTGCAATATACAGCTTTTATAGAGTCTAACTGTTAATGGTTTACAAAATGAAAGAACTATGTAGAAATTCCCTATGATGCTTAATTGGTTAGTTATTTCTCTCCTTTTTCACTGTATTCTGATAGAGAAGATACTCTTGAGCCTATGAGAAGAACATCAACTCTTTAATTGCTGCTATGAAAATAGCGACAACTAGCTTTACATGCAACATGATATTTCTAACAATCAAGCATGGTTCCTTTAATGCAACTTGGAGAAACTTGAATTGTACATGCTAATCAGATGATGCGGATACATCGTATAGGAGATGAATGCTATTGTCTGATGGAGAATATGCAAACATTGATAAGATTCCACTTCAAGGAGCACCATTTATAAGATACTTGTTGCCAACACCATTGCATATCAAAAGATTTCAGAGTAGAAAAACAAGGGCCATATTAATTAGCTGAAGCTGATTGTTTCTGCGATGCCGCGGCAAGATGAAGCTACCACCACGGTGGTGTAGAGGTGAGTAAAATCTTAATCTAAATCCCTAGACTTTGTCACTTTGACTCCGTGTACTTGTATATTTGCAGGTGGTGCTTATTATTTTGTTACATCAAAGATATAGTTTGTACTATTTATGTTTTTTGTAGTAAAGATATTAAGGAGATGATAAGTAATATAATTCATTTTTCATGTTACTCCAAGGTGAGAAGAGAAGCACATGTCATTCCTGAATATTTTTTCTATAGTTCTTTCTTAGGGTACAGTGTGGTAATATTTGTTCTAAGCCGTTGCTATTAATATATGATTACTCAATTGGTTTTATCTTAAAGTCTTTCAAATTTATTAAAATTTCACAGTGAAAAATATAATTTTGAATTTGGAGCAATCTTGAGCGAGACAAATAACAGAAAAATATATGATCATGTAATCATAGTTTGGACTTTGCATTGACTTGTTTTTTAAGGAAGACGTGCGTTGCACGTACATACTAACTAATATACACAACTATAGTCCTTTGTCTAAAAAAATATTGTAGTGGCGTAATCTCGAAGCCCTTTCTCCGTTTAGCATACGTTGCGCCGTGCGCGCGGCTGGCATGGCAAAGCGCGCGATGGCCTCGTGCCGCCCCATCCCTGCGCGTGTCCAGCTCACCCGCACCACACGCCGGCGCCCGTCCAATCCCATCCGCCGTGCTGCGTTCCGGGTCGCGTTTCCATCAAGGCGGATCATTGTCATTTCGTCTTTGCGGCGTGGAATCTGCGGGAGTACCGACCGTCGGGTGCCAGCGGCCACATGGACCCACTCCACACTCTCTAGGCTCTAGCTGAGCCGTGGCAACTGAAAAAAGGACTTTCTATATTATCAGGTCGATTCGGGCAAGGGTTTTCTACGTGAGAGGAATATTGTTTCTTTTGGGACCAAGGTGCTGGAGCATACGTACGTACTCCTGCGTACAAATACGACCGCTCAAACAAATCGAAGAAGCTCTTTTTTTTTCTTGAATATATGCACGAGTGTGCATATCATATACTGTATTAAAGAAAATCTGGGTTTCTCAAGAGAAAAAGAGAAACGGATTTTTTTTAGGATAAAGAGAAACGGATTGGTTAGTATACGGTGACTATGGGTTTAACGTCCAAAGATCCTGACGTCGCAGTCATGCATGGTGAAAAAGCAAAGTGTGGTGTGGTGTTAGTCCAAAGTAATCAAACAACCGATCCTTACATTACTAGTAGTCGTAGCGTGTGTCCAAACTTCACCTAGCACGGTCAAATCTAGCTTAGCTGTCACCGTCACCGCTGCCATGTCTGTCGTAGCCCGGATTTCTCACAAAGGGCTGACTTGTTCGGTTTAATTAATCCACAAAACTTCGTAAACCCATTACCCAGATATTATATATTCCACGTAGGAGTACGTACGTAGCAGTGCGCGCATCGATTGGCTGCATGATTCAGGGCTCCACGTAGAACATATATTAAAAATATTAGGACTTCAATATGAATCCGTCGTCAGATTTTTTGGGTTGAAAATCTGACGCCTTCAAATGTGTTGGATCCTGATCGAATGCATGCCAATTTTTCTGTTCATTTTTACTCTATATGACAGTTTTCACTGTAGAACGTAACAAATCCTTATACATAAGTATGACAATTTCATCACTTTTGTGAGAGATTAGTCTTCTTGTATTCGGTGTGGTGTGCATCCACGGCATTGTTTGCAGTGCCAATAGGTTCTCTTGTAATTGATACATTCTATCTTCGATAAAAATATGGTACGCAATTTGTGTTCTTTAAAAAACAATTTTATCAATTTTTGCTTGACAATTTTGGTCGTCAGACTTTTAGAGCTAAAAAACTGTACATCCGAATTTTAACATTTGGAAGAAAAAAATTGAACACCTAAACAGGTCATCAGGTTCGTGTTCTCAATGCTGGTACCTACCGTTATCTTTTATATGTAACCGAGCAGCCACGTCCACACGGATTTTTGTTCGTTTGCTGGCCCCGGATTGAGCCACACCATCAGGCCGCGCTTGGGATAGTTGTATGCCAATGCAGGGGTGTTTTGTTTACACTTGTATTTTATTGGCCGCTGCATAATTTCCGGCCGGAAACAAAACGACCGTCCGAGGTCTGTATTTTTTACACCCGTATCTGAAAACGAAACGACATTTCAAACAGAGCCTCAGTGGTCGACAGGGACCTTCCACGTCGATCGTCGGGTCTAACACTAACGTACGGGATACCTACCATATTAGTAGTTTTTTTTTTGGCCCCATGCGCATTGCCAATTTGACTGGTAGCCCAATATAAATCAATTTAATTAGTCCAAGATCCTGCTAGCTATCGCCGCCATGCATGCATGGTGAAAAGCAACAGGGTTTTATACGGAGTACAAAGTAATGACAAGCTGCTTAGATTTAAAAAAAAAGCAAGCTGCTTAAATTTCTGCTAGCTAGCACTGTTGTCACCGTCACCGTTGACATGTTGGCCTTGACCCGGATTTCTTGCATCTGAAAATGACTGGTTGGGTTTAACTAGCACTACTATATCGCAGCAACCGTGGCCATACGCCCATGCATACTGTGACATACACGCATCATTGGCTAGGTAATCTGGATGTGACGGATTATCAAATCCTTGGCTGTAAATTGCACTTGATGATATAAAATGGTTGGCCCCATTGGCGCACCCTGTAGTCAAAAATAAAATTTAAAACACACGCATCATTGGCCATTGCATCAATGTGGGTTACTGGACTGATTATCAGCTCGCACGACACGCGCGACGTTACCCCGCAAATGCATGAAAGAGCACGCTTCCAGTAAGATGGACGACATTGCCGGCCAGCTTTAGTGGCTAGACTAGACATTAAGAATAGTCTATTATATCTTGAAGCCATTTCCACTTGGTATAAGACGCACCCAACCTAAAAAGCTTTATCCCGGTTTGCACTTTAGAGGGCTAGCACGTTGAGGGCAGCATGAATACATGCACATACGTCCATTTCATGACCTAACCACCACCCGGGTTAACTATCAAATCCACTGCACATGCAGCTACTACAACGTACAGATCGCCGCTAGAGCATGCACTAGCACGTGGAGCCCTTGCCGGAGTAGCTAATTAACCAGCTGAGATGATGTCCTTTCTGCCTGCATTGGGTTTACATATACATATCCAGGCCTCGGTTGGGAGAGCACACGCCGTACCCAATACCAAGAATAGTTATCGGTTAACCTATATCTGTCTCTCCCACTATCTGGCCCGACTAATTAACAGTTGCATGCACCTGCCATCTCAACGATCATCTCATCAATAAGCTAATTAAGCTAAGCAGTAAGCACCCTTTGGGCTTGCGGAGGAGGCAAACAAGGAACGTTGCCTTTCCATTCATGGGATCCGACGAGGAACGACGTATAGTTGTTTATCTTAAATTTCTTGCATGATTGAATAGAGAAACGCTTGATCGTCGCGGTGTAGCTAGAGCCGGTTCATGCCATCCGTGGGATGGGATTATATATCCCGGGCCGATATAGATCGTGCGCTAGATCTGCTCGGTGGCACGACACACGCCTTTCTTTTTCTACCACTACGAGGATCCAAGGAGCCACGGCGGCGTGCATGAATTTGTCCCCAAGCAGAGTCATTTTCTGATGTAACCACCCAAAAGAGGCTTAATACACGCTTTTTTAACACTATCGGGCCATTCGATAGTTTTTTTTTTTGTGCGTGAGTATAGAGGCGCTGTTGACCCATGTGAAGTTGATATTTCCATAACATCATCCTCTTTGAACTGTTTTTCTACTGCAATCAGTAACGGGCCACTGCGATTGCTTCCTTCATACTACTACTTCCGAACTGGTTTATTGGCCCCTTTGTATTTTGTGTCAAAGTTTGATCATAGATTTAATTAAAAAATATTAATGCATGTAGATAAGGTTCCGATGCAATTGTTTTTGTTATGTAAATATCTGTGCATTTTTTACCTTAAAAATGCAATCTCACTGGCCAGTGGGACCACACAAGCCCACGAGCCCACAACGGACACTGGCGCCGTTCCACCTCTGATTGGCCACCACCACATAAAAAAAAGCCCAGAAAACAACACGAAACTGCAGGAGAGAGAAACCCACCCACCCAGCCAGAGCCAGAGCCCGACGCCGCGTGCACACACCGAGCAGAGGAATGGCGCCGACGCCGATGGCCGGGGACGGCCCGATCGCCGCGGTGGCCCCGCGCACCCCTCCCCCGCCGTCCGCCTCGGCCGAAGCGTCGGCCTCCGGCTCCGGCTCCGGCGGCGCCGCGGGGTCGGCGGCCGAGGCGCCCGTGCTGATATTCGTCTACTTCCACAAGGCGATCCGCGCGGAGCTGGACAGGCTGCACGCCGCGGCGGTGCGGCTCGCCACGGAGCGCGGCGGGGACGGAGACGCCGCGGCGCTCGACACGCGCTGCCGCTTCCTCTTCTCCGTCTACAGGCACCACTGCGACGCCGAGGACGCGGTACGGCTATTTGTTTGTTCATGGCGCGCCCGGAGCCCCCGAGTTCGCTCTCGCGTTCCGATTAGTTCTATTATCGAATTTGGGACGGATAATTGGGCTACGACGTGTTGGAATGCCGAATTGTGGCTGTGCTGGCGTTTAGGTCCGCGGAATTGCGGGATAGGTTCCGAGGATTTGGGTTGGGTTCGGGGTTCAGAGTGAGGCGTAACACTGTCGTGATCTGAAAATGGACAGAGTTTGTAGGTATGGTGTCATGGTGATATGCTCAAATAATATGGGGCACGCTTATGGTCTTGCATATATTTCACCATGTGATGGTGAACTATTCCCTGCATTCTACATTATCCTTTTACTGCATTCCCTGAATTTTACTAGCATTTTGTTGCAAACGCCTAGGCACGTCTTAAACTGAACCGTTAAACCATGGCCCTTGAGCATCTAATCACAGGAGTCCATCTCAGAGTACATAATTTGCTCTGTACATTTGCCATTTGCAAAAGAAAAAGTTCCGTGTTTAATAAATTGTTCACTTGGTATGGGTATGGGTGTTCTGACTGAAAATGAATTTTCCTGGCATTTGCTTCACTTGGCATGTGATGTGCCTGTGATACGTTAATTGTTCAGCACATATTTTACGGGGAAGGGATGTGCCTGTGATATGTTCATTGTTCAGAGCATGAGCTTTACGGCCTCGTATCATTTACTCTAGACTGACTTCCTATCTTACATTGATATATTTGTGAAATTTTGTAAGCCAACTTTAGTTAAGTATATGTTCACACTGCAGTGAAAATTTGGAGCTAATATTTGCCTTTGATGATTGCAGGTTATCTTTCCAGCACTCGATATTCGAGTCAAGAATGTCGCAGGGACGTATTCCCTTGAGCACAAAAGGGAAAATGATCTCTTTGCCCACCTGTTCTCTCTATTAAAGCTTGATGTACATAGCGATGATAGTGTCCGGAGGGAGATTGCATCCTGTGCTGGAGCAATTCGAACATTTATAACTCAACATATGTTCAAGGAAGAAGAACAGGTTTTTCCATTTCCCTGATTAGTATGTTCTGCTATTTGTATGCTGTTTGTTTAAATGACACTCAAAGGCGATTTCATTTCTCTGTCAGGCAGCAGTATGAGATATGTTGTCATAGCTGTAATTGCCTAACTGGATGTGGTATGAAGCTTCATATTAGGAAGTTTTGAGTTGTCGAATCAAACTAACAAGTTGTAATGAAAGTAATTAAAATCATATGCTTGGTAGTGGGACCTTGGGATGTACTTTTGCCTCAAGGTCTTTAACAATGAGAAGATGTTATGCAAGAGTAGAAGCAATAACATACAGATCTAGATACAGCTGCTGGTCAGTTATATGCACTCATTTTTCAGACAGTTTTATGCACTTATGCCATTTGGCACCCTTTAGTCGTTCCTGCCGCATATGTATTAAAGTAGTTTTCCTATTGTCTACGGTCTACTTCAATCTACATTTACCAACAGTATAGTGAAGTACAGAAAAAAAATGAAGTAACACCATTTCGTACAAAGCGGTAGAAGGTTAGGCACACGTTGGAAGATGTTTCTAAGCACTGTCTTCCTGCCGATTGACAATTTCCTCTGTATCCAACGTTATGCTCTAATATAAGGGTCATGTCACGTCAGTGGGTACGCAGTATGCTGGTATACGAAACCTAAACGCTGATTCCAAGTTTGTATGCAACTTGTGGACTGCTGAAAAGACTACATAATCAGGAAGCCACCTATTTGAGTACTATAGTATCTCTAGAATGTCTTTATTGGCATGCTCACTAGTTGTCATGCCCTGTATATGAGATAGATTTTTTGCATTCTGTGCTCCCTGTGCATGCTTATTGTCCAATACCTTACTGCACAACAGTTTAAAGACATGTGCTGGTAAAGCATAGAAGCTTTGATTAAACTGTTGTTTACATCTCAGAGAACTCAATGGTGAACCTAACTGTAAAAATGAAAGTTCACAACGAGAAGTTTCTCTTGGACTCTTACAAATGATGCATATAATCTTTTATTATATGATGACAAGTTGTCACTTTGTGTTATGTCTATATTAGTGTCCTCCTCTGTCAGTATTTGTTCCTTTCAGCATAGTGCATACAGTTTTGGCGTCTAATCATCCATGGATGTCTTAGGTCTTCCCATTGCTGATCACAAAGTTTTCATATGAAGAGCAAGCTGATTTAGTCTGGCAGTTCATATGCAACATCCCTGTAAACATGATGGCAGATTTTCTTCCATGGCTTTCATCTTCTGTTTCACCTGATGAGCACCAAGATATTCTTAACTGCTTACATAAAATAGTTCCTCAAGAGAAACTTCTCCAACAGGTCAGGATTAATTATCATGCATCTTCTCCTAATAACAATTTTCTTTATGTTATTTGATTTTAGTCTCAAAATTCGTGTAGGTTGTATTTGCATGGATAGGAGGGAAAGAAGTAACTGTGGCACACGATTTTGACAATTCTTGTTCAAAAGGCGGTTATAGATGCGAGGATATCTCTCACCAAACAGACAAGCAAATATGCTCACATGAGAATTCTAAAATTGGAAAGAGGAAGTATGCAGAATCTAATCATAGTCAGCTTGTAACACATCCTATAGATGAGATATTGTATTGGCACGATGCTATCCGGAAAGAATTGAGTGATATAGCAGAGGAGACAAGAAAGATCCAGCAGTCTGGAGACTTCTCCAATGTATCAGCCTTCAATGTGAGGCTTCAGTTTATTGCAGATGTGTGCATCTTCCACAGGTATGTGGCTTTGAATCTCGACTCATGTGCACCTTTGTTTTAATCTTGATGAATAGCCAATTCGTACAACATGCGCATCATGACAACTAATTAATTATGTCTATTATGTCATACATGTTTGTAATTCATCAGTTATACGTCATTGCTTACACATAATTTGACAACACAATACTTGTATATGAACAAGTTTAGTGTATATTCATCATTACATATGAATATAGATGCATACAATAAAATGCCTTGACGTCCAGTGGTGCTTCAGGTGCGCAACTCATGTGAATAACCATGGAGTCGTGAAAAACCGAGATACCATCAAGCACAGTGAATGAGTAGTATTACCAGTATTGTGAATATGTTACTTTCTTTGCTTTGGGGTTTACATGGTTTTCCTCAAAAGAACTGGGTCTTTATAGATCCCAGTCCTAAGTTCTTATTTTATCCTGTGAAGTGGCCTAATCTGGCATCCTTTGTTTGATCAGTTGTTTTTCTCTTTTGTTCATCTTCAGTATTGCTGAGGATCAGATTATATTTCCTGCAGTTGATGGCGAAGTGTCCTTTGAGCAGGAGCATGCTGAACAAGAACAGCGGTTTAACAAATTTAGATGTTTAATTGAAGAAATCCAAACAGCTGGAGCCAGATCAACTGCGGTGGATTTTTACTCCGAGTTATGTTCACAGGCTGATCAGATAATGGAGGAAATGGAGAAGCACTTCAACAATGAGGAAACAAAGGTGACCTTTTTAAGAAACAAAAGCTAGCCTAGTAGTTAAGAAGCTGGAACCATTTCCCTCTCAATGTGATCAGCGATTCAGCGGGGTCTCATCTATAGTTCACCTTCTTATCTAGGTACTTCCTCAAGCTAGGATAAATTTCTCACCAGAGAAACAAAGAGAACTTCTATATAGGAGTCTTTGTGTCATGCCACTGAAGTTATTGGAGAAGGTTTTACCATGGTTTGTATTAAAGATGGATGATGCAAATGGACAGTCTTTTCTTCAGAATATGTTCCTGGCAGGTACCTTTTTCAATTTAATAGTTTGTTCTATGCCTCTATACCGCACTAGCTGTATAAAACATCTCCAAATTTGCATGAAACAGCACCTTCCTCTGAAACTGCACTGGTTACTCTTCTCTCCGGCTGGGCATGCAAAGGTCGTTTGAAGGATATATCCAACTCGGGAAAATTCATATGCTTGCCATCAGGAGCACAGGGCTGCCCGTTGGATGGAGATGAGTTAAAAAGTTGTCAGTCATTCTGCCCATGTTCATTGGCCAGCAACGGAACTTTTTCAGTACCTTTGCAGACAGAAAACGGTTCAAGGCCAGTCAAGCGAGGGAATCGTGCAGAATCTATTACGAACAGAAATCACTGCTCACAAACTACTGACATTGAAGAGTCTCGATGTAGCAAGAAACCTTGCCACATTCCTGGGTTAAGAGTGGAAAGTAGCAACTTTGGTGCTGATTTATTTACTTCTGTAAACTCTTTTCGCTCACTGTCTTCCAGTTATTCTGCACCTTCTTTACACTCAAGTCTTTTCTCATGGGAGACAGACACGACGACATTTTCCAGCCCAGATAGCATCTCTAGGCCAATTGATGCAATATTCAAATTTCATAAGGCGATTCGCAAAGATTTAGAGTACTTAGATGTTGAATCTGGAAATCTCATTGATGGAGATGAATCTTGCCTTCGCCAGTTCGTCGGAAGATTTCGCCTACTGTGGGGTCTTTACAGAGCACATAGCAATGCTGAAGATGACATTGTCTTCCCTGCTCTTGAATCGAAAGATGCACTACATAATGTCAGTCACTCATACACCCTTGATCACAAACAGGAAGAAGAATTATTTAAAGATATATCAACCATACTGCTTGAGCTTTCACATTTACGTGATGATTCGGCTCACCCCATTGATGAAATTGATGAAGCTGGAAAAGGCCATATTTGTTCATACAGTGAGATTGATTGGTCCAGAAAGCATAATGAACTTTTGACAAAGCTTCAAGGAATGTGCAAGTCTATCCGGTTTACCCTGTCTAATCACGTGCATAGAGAAGAACTTGAGTTGTGGCCACTGTTTGATAAACATTTCTCTGTGGATGACCAAGATAAGATTGTAGGTCGTATAATTGGATCTACAGGAGCTGAGGTTCTGCAGTCAATGATACCTTGGGTTACATCGGCACTTAGTCTAGATGAACAGAACAAGATGATGGATACATGGAAGCAGGCAACGAAGAATACAATGTTTGATGAATGGCTAAACGAATGGTGGAAGAGTTCACCAACTTCATCTGACCCCTCAAATGAGGCCTCCTCCCTTTCAGAAGGTCTGCTCTGTTTTTTTTTTCTAGACTCTCCTCTTCAAACTCTTCCACCATGTTTTTGTTCACTATTTTACATATGTATATACTTTCTCCACTTGGTAGTATATTTTCCAAGTCAAATGTTTTATCCATAGGAAAACCTTAATTGAGAGTTGAGACCCACACTGTTTGATAAAGCAGATACAAATACGAGAATCACCACTTACACTGGATTATGTGTAAAGAGGAGGATATAACTTGCAATGAGCATCATATGAAATTCTTACTCAAAGTTAAATGCTGTGTTACTTAAGTAAGACATGACAACTATTTTGGCATAAATAGTGGTGACCCGGTTGAATATAAAGTTGCAACCATGATGTTTGATAGTTTGCTTGGACAAAGGGCAATATTAGAGAAGATTCCAGTTTAGGGCAAAGAAGACAGCAAAACTATATCAATGCATTTCTTTGCAACAACTAAAACTGACAATATGGACTACCTGGTTTCTCTGGGTTATTTCAATGATCAAATGTTGACATGATACAATCCTTGGTGATGTAAATTTGTGATAAAGGGGAACAGTCAAGGAGAATGAAGTTGGACATATCATACGTAAGAGCAACTGGCTAGAAAAACACGTCAGATGCTAAAATAGTGCGATTGGGGTGTACATTTATGATGAACGAGGAAATAATCTTCTACACTTCTACTGTTTAAGTATAGCATGTTACAGTTTGGAGGTTCAGATTTTTATTTCATCGAGTCCTTCTTTTCTTTTGCCCTGTAGAAAGCCAAGAAAACCTTGACCAGAGTGATCAGATGTTTAAGCCTGGTTGGAAGGACATTTTCCGAATGAATCAAAGTGAGCTCGAGGCTGAGATACGAAAGGTTTCTCAAGATTCTACTCTTGATCCAAGGAGGAAAGCATATCTAATCCAAAATCTCATGACGAGGTTTGTCATTTTAAAGTTACAACAAATAAATTGTAGGGGCTATTGCTGCTGTTTCACCCCAAAGATTTTGTATATTTCATTGGAATGACTGGCTGTATATTTCATATTGTTAATTACATGAATTTCAGCCGCTGGATAGCTGCTCAGCAGAAATCACCACAACCAAGATCAGAAGATCATAATGGATCTACTGTAATACCTGGATGTTTTCCTTCTTATCGAGATCCAGAGAAACAAATATTGGGTTGTGAGCATTACAAAAGAAACTGCAAGCTTGTTGCTGCCTGCTGCAATAAGCTGTTCACATGCAGGTTCTGTCATGATAAAGTTAGTGATCATACAATGGAGAGGTAAACTTAGTACAATCAATGTCACCTGTCTTCTGTCCTGACTGCTTAGTACTCTATAATCTCACAGTAGCAGAATGTTCAACGTTCCCTTTTGAACACCTGATCCAAATATTACTAAATAAAATGAGATTTGGATAACCTAGTGGTTAATTTGCTCTCATGTAAAGCAGCAAGGCGACATGATTATTTAAGGCGCGTACTCATCATGGCTCTTGGATTATTTTTTCTTCTTTCTCCTTCATCCATGTGTTCCGGAAGTTACATTCACTTGGAAGTAATTGGTTGAAAAACTTCAAATGGGCTCCATAGGCCTTGTGAACTTCTCCTTATCTTCCCCATTTGTAGCTTTTAATTGCTCTGCCTTAGCCATGTGGTAGTAGTATATAAAAACACATTAGCTACAAAAATACATTACCTTTTCTGTAGTAGCATTGGTTGTTAGATATATGCTCACATTGTGGTACTGCAATTTTTAGGAAAGCAACTTTGGAGATGATGTGCATGTTATGTATGAAAGTTCAGCCAGTTGGTCCAAATTGCCAAAGTCCTTCTTGCAATGGGCTATCAATGGCAAAATATTATTGCAGTATATGCAAGTTTTTTGATGATGAAAGGTAAACCCTGAACGTGTTTGCTAGGTTTCAGTTTCTCTTGCAGTAATAGTTTTTCCCTTGTGTGTGTGTGTGTGTGTGTGTGTGGGCGTGCACATAAATGAATGTTCGCTCCATAATTTGTGTAGTCTTTTGATTTGGATGGTTATCTCTATCCTCACATATGAAACTAAACTTTGCACTCAACCATGAACATAAGATTGGACATAAATATATCAACATGATATTAGCTAACATGATTCTACCACCTTTCAATTATGTACATAAGTACAAGCCTGTTGGTAGTAGGTTCTGTTTTGTGTTTTGTGTAATGTGTTTTCCATCTCCATAATATATTGCAGATGTCTAACCATGTGAACTTTACAGGAGTGTGTATCATTGCCCTTTTTGCAATTTGTGTCGTCTTGGGGAAGGATTGGGCACCGACTTCTTCCACTGCATGAAATGCAACTGTTGCCTCGGCTTGAAACTGAAAGAACACAAATGTCGGGAGAAGATGCTCGAGATGAATTGTCCAATCTGTTGCGACTTCCTATTCACGTCAAGTGCAGCAGTTAGAGGTCTTCCATGTGGGCATTTCATGCATTCAGCATGCTTTCAGGTATGATAGCCTAGTTGCGACCCGAGGCATTTTTAACGCACTCTCTCTGGGAGTCTACTCTGACAATGTCGTCAACTCCAGGCATATACTTGCAGTCACTACACCTGTCCAATCTGCAGCAAATCCTTGGGAGATATGACGGTAAGTTGCGCCACTTGATGCCAAAACCGTTTCTGCATTTCCCTCCGATGATTGTGTTCTGTCTAATGAAATTTAGAAATTTCAGAAACTGTTGTTTTCGAGTTAACAATTTTCTCTGTATTAACGCCACATTTCTTTTATTAAAAGCAAAGCGAACAAATTGACGTGAAGTCCATATCTTCTGTTTCTCTGTAGGTGTACTTTGGAATGCTCGACGGCTTGCTGGCTGCGGAAGAGCTTCCTGAGGAATACCGGAAGCGGTGCCAGGTACACTATTTCTCTCATTCTGATTTTTTGTTCTTTCCATTGGACTGTAGGATTTACACTGCCGCTCTGCGTGGTTGCTCCAGGATATACTCTGTAATGACTGCGGAAGAAAAGGGCTTTCCCGGTTCCACTGGCTGTATCACAAATGCGGCGCCTGCGGCTCGTACAACACCAGAGTTATCAAGACCGAGGCACCAGATTGTTCCACGTCGAATTAACAGGCGAGTTCGCTTTTCTTCTTCTTCTTCTTCTGCTCGATTCTTTTGGAAATTCGCCTCTGTAATATATCTCTATACAGAGGAACATTGCATATGTGTAGCTGCGATGCTTAATAAAGTCAGTTGGGGGCATGGAGGTCACTTTTGGTTAGCAACGCAGCTAAGGTGTCAGTTTACTATAGCAAAACGCTAATCGAGTAGGTTTGTTGCTGTTAAGGTTTATTTGCCAAACAAAACACTAATGCTATGACAAAACATAGTAGTATTAAGAATAATAAGAGCAACTCCAACAGGGCGACCCATTTCGTCCGCGGGCGTCCGTTTGGGTCGGCGCGGACACAAAAGTCGGCCCAATGCGCCGACCCAAACGGATGTGCGTCCGCTTTTCGTCCGTGAGCAACCCATTTCCGGCTCATTTTTTAGCCGGATTTGCGTCGGCGCGAACACAAGGCGGAAGCGCGCGCTCGCCTTCTCCTCCCCCGGGCCCGCTGGTCGGTGGGACATTGGCCTCTCCCCATCCAACAACAAACCTTTGCTCGTCTCCTTCGTCGCCGCCGCCGCCGCCCATTTGTTTTCCGGTGACTCTGTTGCCGACGCCGCAACATCCGTTCTGCAACGCCGCCACCTCCCACGTCGCCCCGACACCGCCGTCTTCCGTCGGGGAACCGACAGCTTCCCACCCCCGCTCCCCCTCGACACAGCCGCGACCGCCAACCAATAGATGTATCTTCTTTATTCGGCTTGCAAAACTATGTGAGACATTTTTACTTTTATTTGGCTTGTAAAACTATGCTATTTTATTCGATTGAAACTATGTTTATTTGACTATATGTTTGAATGCAAAAGTTGTGTGTGAAACAATGCAAAAATGAGCTATTAGTTGAAATAGGGTAGCCGGCCACGCCGGCACATATGGGTCGGGGCGTTGGACGCACTGCCGAGCCAAATCTGAAACAGGTCGTCCGTTTGGGTCGCCCGGTTGGAGTTGCTCTAACAATGTCTAGGTCTTGTGGTCCTTGGCGGCGGTTTGCCACTGCATCCGGCGCTCCCTCCAGCTCCTCTCCTCTTCCTCTCGCATCTTGGCGGCCACATACACGGTCATCACGGCAACGTAGACGCAGGCGAACCTCAGCGCCGAAGGTATCGACGTCATTCAGCGGAGGCCTCCTCGTCGCCACAAGCCAGAGATCGATCGGTAATCGAGAGCGACCGGTGGATCTATGGCTCTATGCATGGACGGCACGGGGCTGGGTTCAATTTATTACAAAAGTACTTCAATAAGGATTTGGGGGATTGGATTCCTTTTCTGAAAGCTATTTAGGTGCTGGATCCCGACACGGTTGAAACCTACCTGTTCATCACAACTCCTGGTATACCACCACCAGAAGGAATCTTCGATCACAAGTTTACAGAGAGCATGTCGAGCCTGATCTCGTGCACCAGCTCATGGACCAGGTCACGTTCGATCACCGCGCCGTTCCGGAACATCGCCGCGCGCTCCACGTCACCGGCGGCGAGGTAGTCCAGGGCCTGCCCGGCACGGCGCCACGCCTCGCCGCCTCCTTCCGTACCTCTGCGTCTTTCGAATTGAGCCTCTGTTCCAATGGTTGAGGACATGAATGAAAGAGTCAGCATGCAACTATTTGAACTATGCATTTTACGAATATGCTAACAGGTGTAAGATAGTACTCCCTTCATTTCACATTGTAGTGCGTCCGTGCTGTCCGAGATCCAAATTTGACCATAAATTTAACCAACGAGGCCGACTACGGCGGGAGTAAAAATTTATCATTGAATTCATATCAAAAATACGAATTCAGTGGTATGATTTTTGCTCCCACCATAGTCGGTCTCGTTGATTAAATTTATGATTAAATTTAAATCTCAAAAAATGCGACGCACTGCATTGTGAAATGGGGGAGTAAGATTTACAGTGTGTCGTGTACGAGAACAGAAGCTTCGCAAAAAAAAAGTGTACGAGAACAGAGGAGCTTGGGCGCTGGGCAGACGGTAGGATAGTGCGTTGAGCAGTGCACGAAACCGGAAGCGTCCTCGGCTAGGAGGAATCTCATCGATAGGTCACACTCCTTCCGCACTGCCCGTGCCAGACCAGTTTGCAACGTGTGCAGGCATCGGGCCGGGCGCTCCCGTAGCCGGTAGGAGGTGATCCAGACGGCATCATCGGGCACAGCACCGTACCGCCTCATGCCATCATCGCTGGCCGCTGGCGCCTCCGCTTCCATTCACGGGTCGGCACGCGGCCAGTTACCCAACGCAACGCATGGACGGTCGGAGCAGCGCCCATGCATGCTCTCGTCTGGTACCATCCTGCGCCTCTTCTTGCCTAGCTGCACACTGCAGAGGCACTTCTTCGTCAAGTATCAACCCAATGGTGTATGTCTACCGCCCGGCAGCCTGCAAAACGCTGGCACGTTTTAGTATGAACGTAAATGGTGTCGTCCCACGCATTTGTGCCCCTTTGAGCTTCATCCAACAATGTTAGAACGTAAATGGCTTGCCCTCAGTTCTGTGGTACAACACGACAATGTGTCTGGGCTATACAATGTGATGATTATCAAGTTTGGTTAACTGGGACATTGTGTGCAGGCCACTGACATATGGGGGGTCTCAATGTGCTTAACATGGAGAAATTTGCGAGGGCGTTGACACTAAGGTGGCTCTGGTTTGAATGGAAGGAGCCAGAGCGAATATGTGGGTTGGCTTGGAAAATCCTTGTGACGACAAAGAGTACGACTTGTTCTACTCCTTCACAACCATCACAGTGGGCAACGATGCACGCATGTCTTTCTGGGATGCCCCTTGAGTGCATGACCAAAATCCCAAAGACATCGCACCACTCATCTACGCAGCATCCACGAGAAAAAAGTTAGAAAGTAAAGGAATCTCTGAAAGATGATGCCTGGGTTTTGAAAATCAAGAGAATTGCCGCCTTCTCGCTCTTGCATTTTTCAATGATTTGTGTGGAAGCACACTGACAATGGAATTTATTCCACGGAGTCTGCCTACAAGGCACAATTCCTTGACATGATCCGCTCTCCGATGGAAAACATGATATGGAAAGTTTGGTCACCACCAAAAGTGAAATTCTTTGTCATGCAAAACCGGATTTGGACTGCAAATATGTTTGCCAAGAGAGGATGGCCAAATTGTGGGCTTTGCCCTCTTTGCAAGCATGAGAACAAAACCGTCGATCATCTACTCTTCAAGTGTCGGTTCACATCTAGGTTCTGGGCTTCTCAAAGACTTCCTTCAGCTAGACTGTATCGATACATCTTCCTGTCCTATGCTAAGTTCAACCAAGGACTGGTGGATTGGTCTGACCGACTACTCACTGCAGCATCCCCAACAGGAGTGGCATGGCATCGCTTGTAATGTTAACCTCTTGGGTTGTTTGGGGCGAGAGAAACGCTCGAGTATCTCACCACAAAAGTGCGCCACCCTCGGTTCTTCTAAGCAACATCAAAGAGGAGATGGCTGTCACGCCCAATATGCGACCCTATCCAAAAGGAACTCGAAGGTCCCACCAAGGATAGACCCGCATATTAAAACGCTTTTGCAAGGTGGATATCATTACATCAACATTACATAATAGATGGGGATACATACATAAGGCATACAATGCCACACGAATACAACATCACAATACATAAGAGCATCATCCGACTACGGATGAAACACAAACAGAAACTCAAACAACATCCACCCTGCTAGCCCAGGTTGCCGACCTGGAACCTATCCCCTGATCGAAGAAGCAGAAGAAGAACTCAACGCAAGCAAGCATCGCTCTCGCGTCATGATCATCGCATAACCTGTACCTGCAACTGTTGTTGTAGTAAACTGTGAGCCACGAGGACTCAGCAATCCCATTACCATGGGTATCAAGACTAGCAAAGTTTAAAGGGAAAGGAAGGGGTAAAGTGGTGAGGTTGCAGGAGCGACTAAGCATATATGGTGCCTAACATACGCAAATAAGAGCGAGAAGAGAGCAAAAGGAACAGTCGTGAAGCTAGCAATGATCAAGAAGTGATCCTGAACTCCTACTTACGTCAAACATAACCCAAAAACCGTGTTCACTTCCCGGACTCCGCCGAAAAGAGACCATCACGGCTACACACACGGTTGATGCGTTTTAATTCGGATCTGGTGTCAAGTTATCTACAACCGGACATTAACAAATTCCCATCTGCCTATAACCGCAGGCACGACTTTCGAAAGATTATACCCTGCAGGGGTGTCCCAACTTAGCCCATGATAAGCTCTCGCGATCAACGAAGGATATACCTTCTCCCAGGAAGACCCGATCAGACTCGGAATCCCGGTTTACAAGACATTTAGACAATGGTAAAACAAGACCAACAAGACCGCCCGATGCGCCGACAATCCCGATAGAAGCTGCACATATCTCGTTCTCAGGGCAACACCGGATGAGCAATCCGTACAACTAAGACCAGACCTCAAGTTTCCCTGAGGGGGCGCTGCAAAGGGCTCTAGTTCGGACCAACACTTAGACAAGCACTGGCCCGGGGGGGCTGAAATAAAGATGACCCTCGAGAGAGCGACTCCCAAGGGAAAAGTAGGTGGTGGTGAGGCAAATGGTAAAACCAATGTTGGGCCTTGTTGGAGGAGTTTTATTCAAAGCGAACTGTCAAGGGGCACATATTTATAGGTTCTGGGAGCTAGGAGAGTCCAAATGAGGAGCGTTTTTCGCCCACACGATCGTGATCGAACGACCGAGAGCACGGAGGGGAGTTAGATGGGTTTTGGGCCAGTTTGGAGGGGGTGTTGGGCTGCAAAGAGAAAGGGGGTTTTCGGGCTACGCGGTTAACCGTTGGAGTATCAAACGACCTCCAAATGGCACGAAACTTGACAGGCGGTCTACCGATGGTATACCAAGGCCACTTGGCAAACCTCGGGCCATTCCGAGAATGTTTAACACCCGCACACGAAAACAAGGCCTGAGACGCGCGACGGGCGCGCGC